TTGAAACAAGTGGAATGAACTTCCTTGCTTTTCTGCTGCCCAGTGTTTCTTTCCATATGCCTGGTTTGTGGGCACAGAAAAGAAGACTCTCCTAGAGCCTTTCCTGAATGCCTGTTCCCTCTGGAGGGAATGAAGGGGCGGACTGCTTTTGAGTTCTAGTTACAGCACTCATTAGTGCTAGGGAGCATTTTTTGTGCTTCCTGCCCAGCTGGTGAGAATTTGTAAATTTTCCTTTATATTATCTGCACTGACACTTTTTATTATGGACAAAAAGGAGAGTTAGGATATTAACAAGGTATTTGTCTGACTGAAAAGGAAACATAAATGCTCTATCTGTGTTGGATTGTATAAAGTTAACTATTGTATAGTGCAACATTATACTACTGCAGCTACTGTAATTTTACAATTTATGCCTGGCTAAAATCTTGGGTGTGAGTGGAGATGTGTGAACTTGTTTACGGTCTTAATTTCTCAGTGTACATTTGTTTGAAGAGGATGAAAAATAGCTTTTTTTTTTTTTTTTTTTTACTGTTTGCTGGTCTGGATTGTAGATTATCTTCTGAAGATAACACTAATGTGTCTCAGTGTTCCAATTTGTGCATTTCAGTTGGAGATTTTATGTTTATGACACTGTGTGATTGTTTGACTTTTCTAATCAAGTAGCAAGAAAATTTATTTTAGCTGGTTACAAATGGATGCTGCAGTTGCTAGTATAGGTGTATAGGTTTTGGAACAGGAAGAGTTTCAGCTTGTTCTTGAAAGATGGTAGGGGAGAAGGGAGAGAAATCAGTTGCTTTATTAGAGCAGTCTAATCCTCGGCTAACTCAGAATTTCAATTTTTCTTAATTTCACAGAGTTGGTGTTAATGGAGATGTTAATAAAATATGATAATTACTAGAGAAAGTTGACTGTGTTGCAAAATGGAATATTCTTATTTCACCCTATGTTACATCTGTTTTCCAAGTCCAGCGTAGTATTGAACTCTTGTTGCAGTTCAGACTGTCTTGAATTCAGTCGTTTGGATCTGGAAACTACATACAAAAATGTTAAAGTGAGCCCTGGCATGGCAGAATCTCAAATCTGTAGTAGGCATTAAGTCACAGCCTGGTTCTTGAATTGGTTCCCAGAACCAAAGCTTTTTGTGCTTTCTGCTGATTTTCATACATAAGTGAGGAAGACGTGATTTTTATTTGAAAGACCTGAAGACAGTTACGATAATTTAACCTTGACTCTGACCTGTCCTGTGACCTGTTCATCACTAGAGAGTGTTAGTGAAGGCTTGCTCCCACGGTTGCGTCCCCTACAGCTTTATGTAACTGTAGTGCTGATGCCCTTCTTGGCCATCTTCCAGTTAGGAATAGCTCTTTCCAGATTTAACTGCTTCCAAAATAATGATTAAGCTGAGGAAGGTCACAGTGATGGTGCAGTAAACATTTCCATGGGGAGTTCTGTAACTGAATTGGAGGATTTGTAACATAATATGAATTTCCCTATGGTGCATCAAAGATGTGTACTCACAATTGCTAAATCTTAAAGTGTGCTAATAAGCATTTTAAAAGAAGTCGTCTTGTCCCTCTTTCTTGAAGGAAGTGGGACTAGTAAGGAAGATCTAACTGTAAGAGGAAAGCATGAGAATTGCTGTAAGGGAATGTCTCAAGGGACTTTAGTGTTCTGTCTACCTTATCAGGCCTGTTTCTTTGATATGGATTAATCTTAGTGATCCTATTCGCATGATCTGCTTTGCCAGGCATGCAGCTGGGAGACACAGAGCTGACTGCAAGTCACAGCCGCTTTAAAATGGCTCAGGGTTAGGTTTTGCTAATGGTGAAAGCTAGCATGTAAGTAAGGGGAACCCCTCTTCTTTTTAGAGGTAGACTTACACTTGCGGATTGCTCTCTTCATGCCATTTTAACTTGGTGGCCTTTTTAAAGATCTTTAGCAACTTTCCCTGGCAACCTGAGTTGACAATGCTTGCTTGGCTAGGTTGTTGAGAATTCCTAGGTGACTACTATGCAGGTATGTACCTTTTTATATTAAGGCAGCAAGGTTTTATGTGGTTAATTTGGTGATACAGTTTTGGTGTTTACATATGATCTTTAAGCCCTTAACTTGTCTGAAGTGCCTAAAACTTGGTTCTCTGGTGTGTCATCTGCTTTGGTCTTGGAAGTTTCCCAACAGCAAACATAGGTTTGGCAGCCCTTTCCTGTACTCGTTCTCTTGAAGCTCGGGTACTGATCCAAATGTAAAGCAGTATTACGCATAAAATAAAATGGAGGTGTGGGGGTGAACCGGCACCTGTAATTACACTGTGTAGTTGTCCTAGGCACCATTGGGTATGTATTTATGGTTGGCCCTTGTAAAAGCTCACATAGCTTGTCCTGGCAACCGGAGGCAATTGATATTGCTGAAGCAGCCATGATCAGTTTTTATGCAGCCGAGGCCAGCTCAGGTAGGGCAGGATCCCTGATTCAGGGCAAGCCTGGGTGTGCAGCCTGGGAGTTCTGCTAGGAGGACTGCAGCTGAGCGTGGAGAGGCCCAGGGGCTCCTTATGAAGAAACTGCCGCATAGTGGGTGTTTCTACTATCAGCTGTAGGTGGGTGAGACTGCTGCAGCGGCTGATACTCACTCAGAGGTGCTTTGTGACTCAGTACTGGGGCTGGGAACCAGGGCGGCAGAGAAGAATGTGAAATGGTGGGGGGATGCTGCTGAGCTGTTAGACCACGTGGGGGCTGAAAGTCTGCTCAGTGAGTTTGAGGGGTTTGTTTATGGGTTGGATAGAATTTGCTTTAAAGGATGTTATTCATTTAATATGTACGTTGTTGACTCTTATTCATGTTTGGAAAATGCATGTTGGATTAGATTCACTGTAGTGGTGTATTTAGACCACTACAGTATTTAAAAATCACCAGCATCTTGAGAACGCTGAACAAAGTGTAATGTTACTGCATCCGTGGTATGGGATTACAGTAAATTAACTACATTGGTGTTTTCTGAAGTTTTCAAGTGACTAATATCAAACTGTTCAAACAAGCCATCTGGTAAATTTTCGTCTTGTTTTTTCCTTTAAAAAGGGAGATGGTTTTACCTCATAGTAGAAATGAACTAATATGTCTGCTTTAAGCAACATACAGAAATACATGAAGAAATTTTAATGATTTTATCTTGGTTGAGTTTGGGAAGGGTGTAGTAAATAAATACAGACAGTTAACAGAATGGTTAATACGAAAATATTAAACAGCTACCTCATGCGATTATCAGTGTGTAAAAAAAGGGAAAAAAAAACTAACAGTGTGACTGATTGAGGAGTGCAGTCTTGTAATTATACTTCTTGCATACATTTAGGGGAATTAAATGTCTGTTTTTATAAATGTATATTAAAGTCTTAAATCTGGAATTTTCTAATGTACATAACATGTAAAGTCACATCATTCACTAGAATCTCAAGTTTTTTGTTGTTTTTCGTGTGCATCACAAGAGAATCGCATACCACTTTAGGCAAAATAGCATAAGAAAAAGTTTGGAGCTACTGATGGTTCAGGTTGCAGTAACTCATGCATGTGCAAATCAACCTTTAACCTTTGTAGGGTAATAAACAGATTAGTCATGGTGTACCTCTAGGTTTTTGTGATGGACTGTTTTTCTAACCTGCAGGGTTAGAGACAGAGAGGAAGTCTGAAATAGTAATTTTGTCAATGCTTGTGTCAGAAGGCTCAGAAGATAGAATTTGCATTATAATCTCTCCCATTCTGCACCATGATGTATCATTGAGTGATCTTCTGCATGTGTGGCTCTCAGAAGACTTAAAAAAATTTATTTTAATGGCTCCATTCACTTCCACCTCTCAGTCCACTATTAGTGGACTGTTCTTTGTTGTAGTTGCCCGTAAGATACAGTCTTTGCCATTTGCGAAGCACTGTGACTTCGCGTTCAGATCACTATACAGTATGTGAAGCTACTGATACCTAATGTAGTATCCCTGAGTATTTAGTAACTTCTCAGTAGGCGAAGGAAAAATAAAGGCAGGGAGAGTGTTGTATTTGGAATATCTAGTTTTTTCCCTGAAATGTGTAAGAAAATTATTTTTCTTAGTTTGGTGTGATTTATGTGAATTACTTAAAACTTAGGAAGAGGAAATCATACAAAGAAGAATGAAAGAGTTTTTCCTTGCTTAGAAATTTTTTGAGGAATGGGAGGCCTTAAGACCAGGAGATTTAAAATAAGATTGCTAAGGGTTTAATGGATGGCCTTGTTTAATTGTGCTTAGAACTGTTCAAGTGTAATTGGTCTTAGGCACGAATGTAGATGTAAAAGGTGTTGAGAATTATCTCCCTTCTCATTTCCCAGCTGTTCTTTTGTGTTCAAGTGTTTTCACAGCGAGGAAGAAAACTGGGTTACTTTGAGAAGTGGTTGTTAGGGAGGCCAGAAGCAGGTGGTGGTTTGGGAAATGCTGGTTTTGGTATTCTAGATGTTAATACCTATATTGCAGAGACTGAGGTGCAGGAAGATTAAATTAATCTGTATGTATAAACAGAAGTAGTTACCTAGAACCAGTTACAAGTAGTCTCAAGAGGGTTAAGAAAACAGCATTGCTCCAGTGAATTTAAAACCTAATTTTGTGTATCTGTGTAGGCTGTTCATAAACCTATTTAAACTTTCTGACTTAATATTGGGGACAAAATGTCCTTAATTTCTGAATTGACATGTTAGGACTCCTCCAACCATGAAAAAATGTAAAGGCTACTTGTTTATAGTGGAATGAAGTTTGAGAGTAAGACTAGTGAAGGGACATACTGCATTATTGTAACTAGAAAGGCAAAGTGAGCTTTACGCTGTGTGAAAAAGAACTACATGTATGGTCTCCTGAAATACTTCTGCATCTGAGCTATGCTGTTGTCCACTTGCCTTCTCCCCTCTCCTTTTCCCTTCCACTTCCTTAGAATGCAGATGGTTGATTTCTTGGAAAACATTCATGGTGAACAGTCTTTCTTTTTTTCTTTTAGGGACCAGTTACTCTCCACAAGAAAATTCACATAACCACAGTGCTCTTCATAGTTCAAATTCACATTCTTCTAATCCCAGCAATAATCCAAGCAAAACTTCTGATGCAGTGAGTATTTGTGATTGATATTCATCCCTATATCACCCCATTCATACACACTGTATTTTCATCATTTTGTCTAGAACAGGCTGCATGTACGTTAGCTGCTTCATTTATTTTTCCAGCATCAGTTTTTATTTGGTAAATGCTCTAAATCCAAGCTGCAGTTGTTATATGTTGTAAAACTATTCTAATTGATAATCATTAGAGCTTCAAGGTACTGTCTTGAATTTTAAAACACTAGATTATTTAAATGAAGTAGATAATAGAGAAAAATATTTTCCGTTAACTTTGTTGGTAAGTCTGGAGAGGACAGGATGATTTTACTTATTTGAGATGCATTACACATTGTGAATTTTAGGCACTTTATTATCCAAGTTTTATGGTGTGTGTTAAAAACTGCACTGAAAACAGAATAAATTTGTGAAGTATAGAGAAATTTTGAAGATAATTAATAATTTTTGAGAAAGTTGTAAGGTGCAGAAAACTAATGTTATCGCTATTGATATTACTGTATCCCACTAAACATACTATTAGAATTTGTTTCAGGGTTGATTGGAATAAAACATAGGAAACTATTGCAGAATGCAACAGGAGCATAGTGATCACATCTTTAAACTATCAAAATGAAACGGGCATTTAGAGATGGTGTAAATGGAAAGCAGTGATATTGGTGCATATGGGGACACTCTGTAGTTAAAAATGGTGGAAGATTTTAAATTTTTATATTAAAACTCTCAAGTAGTCTTTTGTGCAACACGGTTTGTATTTCAAAGGCTTACGATTCTGCGGATGATTGGTCTGAACACATCAGCTCTTCAGGCAAAAAATACTACTACAACTGCCGAACAGAAGTTTCACAATGGGAAAAACCAAAAGAGTGGCTGGAAAGGTATATGTGTGTGTCTGTTTTCATTGTATAAAGAACAAATACTCTTAACATCATTTAAGAGCAGTTGAGCTTATCTACTAGATTACTGCTATGAAAGACTGTGGTCCAAGTCTACCATGTTCCTACCTTTACCATGACCGCTGGCACCTATTTTATCCCTTGATGTTCCAGAGTGGGAGGAGGAAGTGTGGTTGGTTTGGATTTTTGTTTTTTGGTGGAGTGGTGGGCTTTCTTTTGGTTTAGGTTTGGGGATTTTTCTTTTTTTGCGGTGTTAGTGAGCTGAACTGGTATATTGAGGGCTTCAACAAGCACTGGTGTAAGGAAGCTGTGAGTGGTTGGAGTTAGCCTATCCCATCTGTAGCAGCAAGCTCTTAGGATCATTTAATTCACTTCATGTAACTTCACCTGTAGAAAGTGTTATATTATTAGATGATGTAAGTTCTTACTTAACTTGTGTTTTCTTTTCTTCAGAGAGCAGAGACAAAAAGAAGCAAGCAAAATGTCAGTTAACAGTTTTCCAAAAGATAGGGATTACAGAAGAGAGGTGATGCAGGCAACAGCCGCCAGTGGGTTTGCCGGTGGAAGTATGTGGTTTTTTTACAGTAATTTATTCTTGCCTTGTTTGCATTACTGTTTTCTTTTCCAAACTTAAAAAATAAAAAAAAAAATCCCTTTCCTTAGCTGTTTTTTCTCACCTTTTTATTTAAAAAGGCTAAAGCAGATAGCACAGACAGCTCTCCCAAATGTTGTTTCTTAAAATAACTTTGAGGCTTTACTAGTACAACACTTGCTTAATGCTTTTCACAGTACTCCTCCTTTTTGTAGCTTTTACTGCCTAATTTAATTATCTTTATAGGTAGTTATTGAAACAACTTGCATGGTTTATGGTATAGTTAGACTGTCATGATCACTGGGACCTGTCAATGTCATATTCTGAGCTTAAAAATAGAGATGCAGAAGTCTCTTCTAAAACCTTGACTTCACATCTGAAAATAATAAACTAATGAATTACAATATCAGGGTTTTTAGAGGCTTGTGTACATTATTGAAAGCATATTTTTACCATGCCAATACTCTTAGCAAAACTTCTCCTGGACTATGAATTTCTGTTACTTGGAATTTTTTTTTCCTGGTACCTAGCTTTAATCTTTGTCAATTTTTTCTGGGAGATGGTGGTGCTGTGAGATTCTTTCTGTATGCTGATGTAGTTTGCATGAATTTGTAGCATAGATCTCAGGATGATTTAAAAGTAGAAGCGACAGTATTAGTCTCCCCCATACCGCCCCTTTCTTATGACTTGACAAGGCAGAGACGTATAAAGGGCTGTTTTTCTGTGTATGCTGAAACATACTGCATATGTTAAAACATACTGTATGCTACAAAAAAGTAGCAGAAATGCACATTGGAGTAACTGTTTGCTTTGTAATAGGTGCAAATCTAGGAATCGATAAAAAGAATTACTCTGTATTTGCTTGGTATGTTCCCCATGTAGCATATTTTGAAATCTATGATCATGTGACAAATGCAGATTAGTCACTCGTTTAATATATAGTCTTCTTGAATGAATTCAACTGAAAGTAAATTCTTTGTAGTAGTACTCAAGTGACTTGAAGTGGAATTCTTTGAAGGCTAGGATTTGAAACTATTAAATTATACTCGATGTTCAGGATTTTCAATGAACAAAAGAAAAATGGCATGAGTTATCTCTTCACACTAGATAGAAGATGGAAATAATAGATTTTGATTTAGATTTTTTTTTAGGAGACTTCTAAAGTTAACTTGACTGTAACACTCTTTATAAAGCAGCCTTGCGTCAAAACACAGTGCTTAACCGGAACTCTGAATCAAGCAAAGGTCAGAGAAAATGCATTTTGTCAGTGAGTAGAATTAAATTTTGCCTTTTTTGATGCTGATCTGCTTGAGGCTTTTTTTAATCATAAGAAGTTCAATCAGCTCTAGTTGTTGATGTGCAGCTGTATTAATCAGTCACTGCAATCTTAGACAAGTTTCTAATTTAATCTTTTTTTCTTATTGCAACGTTACTTGGGGAATCCTGAAAAAAAAGTGGAAGACAAGCATTCCAGCGACACCAGTAGTATACTCCCACAGAATATTTTATCTCAAACAAGCAGGCACAATGACAGAGACTACAGACTGCCAAGAGCAGAGACTCACAGTAGTTCTACTCCAGTACAGCATCCCATCAAACCAGTGGTTCATCCAACTGCTACCCCAAGCACTGTTCCTCCTAGTCCATTTTCTCTACAATCTGATCACCAGCCAAAGAAATCCTTTGATGCTAATGGAGCATCTACTTTATCAAAACTGCCTACATCCACATCTTCCATCCCTGCACAGAAAACAGAGAGAAAAGGTATGTCTAATGAAATTCCTTCTAGTATTGAAGATGATGGATTGCATTTGCATTGCTTGTTCAAAGTATGTTAGTTGTAGAGTTTAAAGAGATTTTTCCTGTTGATTGTGTGTGCTTAGAACCCGATTACTGTTTTGATGTGTTTATGTCCACTTAAACCACATTTTCTGTGTCTTACACAACTTCAAATTGACACTGCGATATTTGCTGTTCACTGGCTTAGTCTGCAAATAATAATTTCAAATGATAATTTGAAAGATGTATTTTAGTAAGACATATTTTAATTTTTGTTCTCTCTCATGTTATTTTGGATCTTTGCCATTGAGTCCTTAGCATAGATGTGGTTACACCATTGAAAAATCATTTTGGACCATTATGTTATATGAACTGCTGTTACTGTTTGGAATGCTTGAAAGTGTCAAGCTTTTCAATAAACACAAGTACAATTCTTACAGAATGCAACACCGTTTTCTTCATGTCTGTAGCAGCTACTCCTTTGTTTTGATCTCTGCCTTGTGATATGCTGGTTCTTCAGTTCTAAAGCTGCTGAAAGTTTGTATTTCTGTACAGTACGTACCAGAAACATTTATAGTTGTCAAGTGAAGATCAGGAGTTTACTGTGCGTTGTTTGTGACCCTTGAAAAGTCTGTATTTTAGTTGGATTTGCTTCATTATTAGGGAAGAAGAGCTCAAGAAGATTGTGAGAATGAAATGTGTATTATTAGTGATAGTGTGATACTTTGGGATAGTTGAGTTCTTAGTAACATTGTGTAGGAAATATTCTATTTTGGGGGTTTTGGGAGGGGGGAAAAAGTAATTTTGGATAAATGTGTCTGGTTTTAATTTAAAATATTGCATAATTAGTATGACACTGAATTATTTTTTGAAAGATGGCTTATTGCTCTGTTGATATTTGCCAGTCTGTCTAGTTACAGAAGAATAGTGCAGTGCTGAAAATAAGACCAAAAAAGACTCTGGTCTGACATTGGTCTTGTACTCTGTGTTTACTTTCCTGCCTTGCAGTTTTCTTTAATAAAGAATTCCATCCATAGGTGCACCTGGCCATCCAAAATATTCAAACAATAGCATACATTGACAAATACTGCAATGTTAAGAAAACCATGCATGTAAAGACATTTTGTATGTTTTTCTTGAGACTTGTGCAATTTTTACATGGCGTGGTACATGAATGTTGACTATAAACTACAGAGGAACAGATGATTTTCCGGAAGCCTTTTTCTGTTCAACACAGTAAAGCAAGAAGTTAGGTGTACTAGTTTTATGTGTGTTCTTGTACTGAATACTATAGTTACCTGCTTCAGTTCAGCCTTTGTTTTGATTGCAGTTTCACGCACTTTTAAACCTGACACTGCAAAACATCCATGTCAAGTGTTATCTCCTTTAGTGTATCCTCTCTATTTTCATTACTATCTTTAAAATATACTTAAAGAAAACCCTTAGTATTACTCCATTCTGGCATGTACTTGATTCCTGTTTGGTGTGTGATCAGACTTCAAACTGGATATTCTTTCCCTGCTTTACTGCATACCATTATTAGTTGCTTCCAGTTAAATTGAGCAGCTGAATCTTCCTGCAGTTGAAGGAATTTCCAATTGTGACAACTGCTACAAATGTTGGCAGGGAGTTCTAGTATTTCTTACATAGAACATTCATTTGAGAACATACAGTTGGGTATGAGTAGTGAAAAGGATCGCACAGGGCGGTCTTGACACTACAAATCCTACTTTAGAATCTGTGTTATCATGGACGGTTCCATATTAAATAATTACTTAATTTCTGTGTTCCTATGTAGTGGGTTTTTTTTTAATTTTACATGGGTTAAATGGATAGATTCTCTGTAATACTCATCCCTTATTGATATAAGTGTTTCATGGCACTTCATTGTAAGTAAATATAATACTGAGCTTCACACAGGATGAATTACAGAAAGTTAGTAAGGAATTGAAGAATTAGAATAGATGAATGTTAGGCTTGAAATACTCCAGAAAATGTGAGTTTTCACGTGTTGCTTGAATTTGCCTCTATTCTTACAGAAACAGAAAAATTCAGTGCAGCTTATATCATGATAAGAGATCATTCAAAGAATATGTTGTCGTCTTGCCTTTTTCTATTTTTTTGTGCATGTTGGACTTTCTTTCCTTTTTTTTTTAAAAAAAATATGACCAGTAAAATTTCTGTAGCATTTTACATATTTAAATTTAAAAGAAGGGAGGAAACAGTGCTGTACATTGGGTTGGTTTTGGATTGTTTGCATCTGTTGCTCGTTCTCCCAGAGGTGACTGTGAACCTATAGTACTATGGGTATGCAGTTTTTAAAGTATTTGTTAGTAGCTGTTAAACAAAATGAAAAAAAAAAAATCTTCCTGAGACACTGGGTTGAAGCAATCTTCTGAAAATATCCTTGTAGAATCAGAAAATAGTCTGAGAGGTTTGGTTTTACACTAGTAAAGCAAACAGCCTTTGCTCTTTTTCTGTTTGCTAGCTGTGCTGTCCCTCTCTCTTTCTAAGAAGAGATAAAGCTGTATTTTTTGCTTGTAAAAATAGCTTGGTCCAAATGACTGAATAATATGTGCAGTAGTCCTTGCCTAAATGAGTTCTTGCTTATTGTCAATGTGTTGCTGGTAGCCTTATGCCAGTATATATGTACCATTGTTTTAATAGTTCTGTTCTTAGTGTGTATTTTTTAATGTAGTAATAGTTATGAACAACAAAACAACAAAAAAACACAAAAACCAACAACACCACTTTTTTCAGCTCAATCTCTTTTGCTGCAGGGGTATGTTGTAGTCCCGCAAGGAGATTGAATAAAATCCCTGGCTGAACTATAGCTCAGCTGTTAGCAGTAGTCCTCTGCCCTCAATGGCTGGCAGTAGTGGAGAGTTCCTGGGGAACTATTTGACCTCTACCCTTTGGTTTGAATGTTCCAGTCAGAATCTGCTGCTTCTGTTTGTGCTCACTGTGAGTGCTTTATGCAGGTAAAGTGTGGGGTTGCTTTTCCTACTTTTCAGCTGCTTTATCTGTAGGGCACATCACATTTTCCTATTTCTAATTCAGTTACTGAATGAAATGTTGTATTGTCTGTATCTTAACAGTATGTCTGTCTGTAGGATACTTCTTCTCACAGCTTTCATGCAAGTCCCATCAGGCAGGACTTCTGTTTCTAGTGCAGCAATACTCTCAAATTTTTCTGAGAGAACTCAGCAAGCTGGCCAGTACAATGCTGGGTGGGCTATGACCCTGATGCTGACAGATTAAAGTGGCTGGTCAGTGGCAGCTGAGCTTCTTCCTCATCCTTTTCTCACTCCTGTGGTTTTCTTACTTGTAACTCTTGCTTGTCTTTAGCAGTCAGTTATTAACATTGCTCCTGGTATCGTTGCATCTTCTTTGGCTGAGTTTTGCAGTTTAAGTATATTACTCAATTCATACAGTGGTTAGAAAAAATTACACTAGTGAGACTGTTAGAGGTTTCTTCCAGTACTTTATACTTGTTTGCTGAGCGTTGCTGTTATGTTTATTTTGGCACCAGAGATAAAAAACGAAAATTCAGTTTTAAGACTGGAGCAATCAAAGTGAGAAAAATACGGGATTTTTTGTGTTTTAGGTAATTTGAGTGTATTTGAGAACCCAGTTACTGTTGTTGCCATAGTTTCATTTGGACAAATGTGTTTACAAAATGCATTGCTTTTAAATATTTATAGAGTTTCCTGTGACTTAAGGTTCTTAGTAGATCAGAACTGAACTATGTAGAAGAGGTAAAAGTGGCTTTTACCTCTTGGTGGTGGACTATACACTTAAGGTACTTCAGCACAGATGTGTGTGTTGTCATTCTTAATCATCAGCAGTAAATCAAGCAGTTCAGTTAGCTGTTCTAGGTGGTAGTTGTTTAATCAGTATAGCAGAGGTGAAGTTTATGAGGCAATAAGGCATTGAATTTCTGAAAATTTTTGTAATGCAAAATTACATTAATCTCCCACAGAGAGTACACTGTGAGAGTGCACATGCATGACTTGCTAGCAGAGCAAAGGCACAGCTCAAGCTCACAATGGAGTGATTGGGTAACATTGTAGTGTTGAATCTGAAGGACTTTGAATGCATTAGTTTTGTTTCAAATGGCATAAAAAGATTTCATCAGCAGTGAAAGCTATTGGAACACTCAAAGGGTCACATTGATAATTTGAGAATTATCTAGTCAACAGGAGTGGGTAATTTCCGTGTCATTAAAAAGAATCTTTGTTGAAATAAATCAGCTGTCCATATATGTGGCAGGGTAAGAGCAAGCTATACATAGCAGTATTTTAAAGCTACTCGTTGCATAGGGAGTCCTAGCATCGTAGTTGTCAGAAGGACTGTGAAGGAAGTTATTGCACAAAAAATGCATTTCCTCTTTTTGTTTCTTTTTTTCCCCACTCACTTCGCTGTCACACTAACATGCCTGAGTTAACTCCGCATGCCATGGGTGAGGGAGTGAGCAAGTACTAGGAACAGGTACCTAAAGGACTGCAGCAGGTGGAACGGGGTGACTGAAGCACAACAGAGGTGTGGGAGTGTTGATGTCAAGAGCTCTTCATTGAAACAGAGTAGCTGAACAGTCGAAAGACTTAGTTTTTCACCCCCCTGCATTAAAGGTAGTCTGAATAACTTTAACTGTAACATACTAGGCCTTTCAGAAAGACATTCAGTAGTGGATCAGATGTTTGCTTAAGAGCAAAGGTTCTTGTCATAAGGGGCAGAGATTGGCAACAGCAAGGTTACGAAGCATTTTAATATACTGCCTCAAACTGTGAGAGGCTAAGCGTTTGCCTTCTTGTTTCTGGGTTGTAATTGAAGAACATTGTGGCACAACTGCTGAAAATGATCTGTAGTGTTTTTTCTGAAAGGATTACTTGACCTTGTTACTAAAAAATTCACACTGCTTGGAAATAGGGAGTGTAATGTTCCCATTCTGACTTGACATGATGTTTCTGGGGCAAGCGATAGCT